AGTTTGGCATGCGAAGGACTTGAAGGCTCATCCTCCGGATGATAATGAGTAACGTCTTGGATTGCTTATATAATGTTGATGTTGTTTGTTGTATTCGGACGACGAAGCTCTGCAGTGAGGGGCTTGAGAATACTCCTGTCAGGGAATTACCAGCTGGTGGGTAAAAGTCCCACAACTGGCCACTTTAGGCAAATTTTATCATGAATAACATTATGTCCCGCTCCTTTATGACGTTTCTGGTTCTTCTTTGGTTTATAGTTCAATGCGGTATTTTGCGGTCCTATTGTTGGAGTTAATGTTGGTTGTCGTCATTTTTGCTAGAGATAATGGAGTTTGGTATAAACATTTTTGCATCATGTATGTTACTTTATCATTCTTTCGAGAGCCAATGAATTTTGGTAGGGACTTAATTTTTTTGTCACTTTAACCGGTGATTCGTCACTTTTGCTAGAGATAATTTTGTTTGGTAGGGACCTAATCCCAATGGGGATGGGCAGGTGGCGGAACCGAGTGTTCGATTATGCGTGCCAGGAGAAGGAGAACGAATGTAGGAGGGGCCCCGTCGACAGAATCGCGAGTTGCCTACGGGCGCCTGTCACATGGCCGGGTCATTCTCCTACATTCGGTCGAGCTCTCTCTAGGCCGAGGTATCGCCATTTGTCCATCGTATTGAGATGAAGGAACAATCCCGAATGTTTTGTTTATATATATCTCTCCCGGCATCAGCGCCGTTTCAGGTTGGTCGGCCCTCAAGTCGACTAGGGTTGACGTGGCAGTCCTTGGGTACGCCCTAAATCAAAATTTTAAATTTAACTTTTTCGGAATCCTCCACTCGGGCGACCAGGATCACACAGATGTGGGGGCCTGATGGTTCGTCTGGGTGTCGATGCGTCAGGAGTGGCTAGTCCCGTAGAGCGGACCACGACGCGTTCTCCATCTTCGAGGCCCTCCTGAGGCGTCGATGTTCGGACGATCGGTCGGTTCACCCGTCTGTGGGATGACTGTGAACCTAAGATGTCATGGCGACATATCTTGTTACCGGCTAGGGTAGTCAGGAACAAGTTTAATTTTTTTTGCGTATATCTTCAAAACAAGAAAAATTTGCAGGCAAATTTTTTTAAAGTGGGAGGGGAATTTGTAACGTTCATTTTTAGCTATCGTACCTTTTTGATGAATTAATTCACTGATTCTGCGAAGATTCAAAACTTCAACGTTTATTGCCTATTACTTGGTAAAATTCTAACATTGGGTCTCTCGATATACCAAGTCAACTTCTGCACAGCTGTATCATATCATCCTCTTGTTGTACATAAATTACATAGATACCTGCCTAGAACTCGGTACCATAATTTGATTCCTAGTACTCGAGTCTGTTTATTTCCATATCTGCTGCTATCTCTAATCGTAAATTAGCAGTCACCACCATCTGTATTCAGTCTCCTAAAAGAAGAGAACTCAACCATAAGGTATGCCTATGGTATAATTAATTAACACTCTGTACTTACTGTTATTTCAAACAGATTCATTTTAGGGAATCATATTTTGGATTTAAGATTTATTTTTGTTTAGGCTGTCATCAGGTATGGTGTTTACATTTCGCTGTCATTATTTAGTAGTAGTATGATCAGCTGTTCGATCGTTGAAATGCTGTGTTCGAAATATCAGACACTACCCTCGACAGAACAGGACCGTTCCGTTGTAAGCGCGCTGGACCAAACTCAGGGTGATTTGAATAACCGAATGAACGGGTTTCTACTGGTGATAGCGGTGGAACTTGGTACCTAGATAGTGCACGTTTGGTGCAATTGAGTGGTGTACCTGGTAGTAGAGCTAAGAGAAATTTATCAACTTGATTACACTGGATGTCAGGTTTCTTTTGTACAATGAGTAAAGTTATAATAAAACTGGGGGATAGATTCCATGTTCTGGTACCCGTTGCGCTGCATTCGAGTTACGACTGTTCAGTACCCTGTTCTATGACGTCATCATGGGTATAGTACCTTCTGGATTATTCAGAGTTGGTAAATATCCTTTCACTACTCTTCTACATCTAAATATCATTCAAACTAAGAATGGATATATAACCCAGGTATTGGTTAGGCAGTACGATTCCTGTCATGTTCTGTGTGCTCTGAGATTTCTGTCCTTGTTCGGGTATGTCATGTACTTCCATGGTTTTGTGGATCCGAGATGATCAATGAAAGCTGTCACTTTTATGTCCTGGGCAATGAGCAAGTGAAATGGCTGTAAGCCAATAATATTGAATTTTTCATTCATCCTCGAAATGAGGGATTAGATTTCACTCTCAATTTCCAGTTTCCATGTAGGGAATTTTGAGGTATCGTTGTGGTATATATTTTCGGAAACTGTCCATTATTATGGGATTTTGAAGCCTTGGCGAAAAAGTGAGGTTGGAAGCACATGAACCGAAAACCCTTTTCTAAAGGAATAAGGTAAATCGAGCTGATAATTCGATCAATTGACCAGTATTTTGATGATTGAAACACTTTCCAGAGCGGTACATAGTTGAATCGTGGAGCGAATCGATAGATTTGGAGATTGATGCCTGATGGGCCCCCTCAGGTGGAATGACATTGTGGACATATATTGTTGAGTCTTGGGTGATAGTGTGTCCTTAGAAAAGGTATGAACCTCCAGAACTTTGGAGTCAGCGAGTAAGAATTTGTCTCATATGTTTCAGGGTTTTTTTTTATGTGCTGCAATTTGTCTTCTGACATTTTTTTGTGGTGACCTGTCTTTAGGTCTGCAAATTTGAAGTATAGCAGCTTGTGCATTTCGTGCTTCTGCTATAGTGGCTGGTATCTGGAGCTGGATCTGATAATCTGTATCTGGAGCTGTATCTGGAGCTGGATCTGATAATCTGTATCTGGAGCTGTTTATGGAGTTGCCTTTGAAGCTGTAGCTGAACCTGAAGCAATAGCTGTGCTAAAATCAAGCCTGTGATTGGGCCATGGCTGTCACGCAAGTTTTTCATAGCATTATGATTACTGTTCATAGTATTTTTTTTTTGTCTACTACCATGATATTATTATGATGAGTTATATGATGATTTTTATGATATACCCCTGTTAACGTAACAGGCACGGTTGCAACCTTGCGGTTTACGGATTTAGGTATATGAACTGGGTAGGTCATATGATTTTGCATTACTTATAAAATATAGCATAGGTATTGCTATGAATTTATGAACATTTAGTTTCTGGGTGGGTTTTTATGTGGATTTTAAGGGTATGGGATAAAACTGGGATTTAAATATTATGTAACACTTGGGTGATATACAGTCAGGTTTTGATTCGAACATTTGAAGTATTCAGTATTGAGGAACATAGTTGCTAGTAATATTCAGATAGATAGCACTTCAATCTTGAATCAGTATTATTGTGTCAGGTGTTTCAAGAAGAGAATTATTAAATGGTATAGAGTATTGGGAAAATGTTTGTCTTTTAATTTGATAACGATAGCTGTTGGAATAAGATATTAACCATGGTAAGTGGGGTTAATATTGAATCATGGTGAGGGTATGCAGTCCACATTTACCTGGCGCCCTTTTTAACATCTATTATTTTGAGTAGATCTGAACCCACTCCGTCTCCACTGAAGTTCAGTCGCGAGCCCATATCCTCTGTCAGCAAAGGACAGATATATATTTGTCAATCTCGAAATAAGATTGTTACAATTTTTCGATCGAATTATGTCGTCAATCATTATTTATGTATAAAAGGATCATCATAAACATGGTCTGAGTTAAAAGTTCTACTAAGGTGTACACGCCCATTCAGATACGTGAGATGTGATTCAGAAATTGTACGTTGTGAGTCAGAATAGTGAATTCTACTTCAGAAAGCATCAAGTATGATTTAGAAAGCATCACTCATAATAAAATTCAGAAACTATCATGGACTCAACTAAGGGTTATAGAATGAACAGAACAGCGAATGGTTCTCCATGTGGCGAACATCAACATTCCATATTCATCGATAAACAAGCATAACTTGATATACCAGATGAGCAGCATGGTGAATGGTGATGTGATGTGCTGTCCTAGCACTATCACTTCCATCAACCAATGTATCTTTCGGCCCGTTCAATATTCTCTTCGAGATACACAAGTCGTTGTTCTTCAATACCCGGACATGATCAAATTTGATATGACATACCAAATTGTTTCCATTGGTTCAACATCAAGGAGTTGAGACCCAAACAAAGAAGACTTGATTCTGTTCCGCCCAGAACGTTTATAAATCTGGAATGGAGGTAGATTGTCGAACACAGGTACATCGGATAATTGATTTCCTTGAGCTTGGTATACCCGCGATAATCTAAGCAGCCAAGAATTGGCTATAACGGATGTGGAAGAGCCTATTCTTCTTTCTTTTGTACACCTGTTGTTAGGTCTTCTTGCAGACGGAAGCTGTTGTCTGGCGTACATGTTAATAGTTTCTGAATTACAAGTGCTACTCTCAGAATTCAAAGTTATGCTCTCTTAATAACAATTGACGCTTTCTGAATCACATTCCATGATTTTGAATACGAAGTAACACTTTCTACATTACATTTCACTAATCTGAATTACATATCACGCTCTGTGTCTAACAATCAATAAATCTGAATATCAAGTTATACTTCCTCAATCACAATTAACTATTTTGAATTGCATCTCAAACTTTCTGAATAACATTTTATTCTTCCTGCAATAGAAAAGATGTAATTTGTCTGTATAACCGACAATATACCTCCGATAATAACCAGATGAGAATAGTCAAGGCAATAGTGCTAACTTTTAGTTTGAGAACTCTGTTTGAGGAAACAATGAATTAAATCTTTTATGTCTGGAATATTTATTGAATGTGCTTTCTCTTCCTCACTTAAATCACTTGTTCATGTTGAATCTCAATGATGGGTGCTGATGAATTCTATATTTGAGAGTATTATGCCTATTTCCGTCTTATGTGAGTTGAAACTCTTCCTTTTAATTTCAGATGCGACGCCCAAACTGCAAGTGATTCTGTAGAAATCTCAAACTATCATGGAGAAGATAGAAAATACACCAGATATTGTGGAAAACTGAGTGAATTCGATGTAGAATCTGATAGCAGATTTTTCAGAGTTACTTTCAGATCAAACGGTAGACTAGACGGCACTGGCTTCAACGCCACCTATTATTTTCTCGAAAGAATATTCACGACGAAAAAATTCCAAGAAATTCCAAGAAATGGTGAGGGTCTATAGATTCCAATAGATCATTGCTGATGATTTTATTCATGTCCAAAATCTCCAGTAATTGGTAATTCTATATCATGGTCTGTTCTGTTACTTCCATATACTGTTATAAACAAAGATCACAACTCGCTATGACTGTAGTGAAGAATATCCATGAGTAATTGGTACTATTTGTCACAGATGCAATGACGAAGGGATGAGCATTTACATTATTCAGACTTAATATTCATTTGAAATGTACTCAAAGTATTGATGGTGATTCTAGACAGAATGAACTATGAAAAAATCTTATTATTGTCAGTCCAGTGATTAACGTAAACTTCCTTCAACTTCTTTCTGAAGATGAATAGAGAGTAATGGCAGAAAATCGGGTAGAGGTATATGTTAAATTTGCTAGCTCAATACGGGAGCTGAGTTTGGAAAATGCTGTGGAATGTTCAGGTATGATGAAGAAGTAGTTTTATGTAACTTTTACAAGAAAAGTATGTTTGTTACATGAAGCAAGAAGTTGCTGAGTGCAATATATATATGCTTTCCTCATATAGTGCATAAATAGATTGTCTAGAATCGAATTGATTTTTTGGCAATCTTCCAGGAAGTTTCTACTTCCCGGGTGCTTCTTCTTCGAGGAAGTAGCATTGTTTCGGCCTAGTCTGGAAAGTATGACATCGTTGTCATCACTGTTGCTCTGAAAATTTTGGTAGATATGGTTTTGATTAATGCAGATGACCATTATCATGGTCACCTGAACTTATTCAAAACTTATTCGACACTGTGATTCCCAAAGTTCGCATGGTTCTTGGTTGTTATTATCGCTATCACCTATGGAAAGCAGCAGCGATATCGAATTTGGAAATGTGCCTTTCGAAACTCCCGATGCAGCTGTGAGTATCTATTTTCTAGGTATTCTGGTCGAATTCTAGGACTCAATACGAATAACAAATGAAGTCAGCTTCGATGTTTTGGGTATTCGATAGATGACATTTGTCACTTGTTTTTCAAAAAATAATTTTTATCTACCATTTTCATTTTTCGAATCAAGTCGTCTGATGGCTTGTTTACTTCATACTCGCGCTTTTTGCTTTACACTATGATAGTTTTTTTATACAAAAAAGGAGCATCTTGAGAGAAATTTTCATCTAGAAGTTCAAAAAAACCCAAATTCGAAAATGTTTTTCAAAATTATTTGGAGCCTAAGACCCTTGTGAACCATGTTATTAATTTTATAGTTTATTGTCTCCTTTTACCTAGCAAGGTATGTCACCGATTTTCCAATAGTGATGAAACTTCTTCCATTTACAAGTTTCTCATATTTTAGCCTGATGATGACTCCTAGGAGTTGAAACATGTAGCACGTATTAACTTATCAAAATTTACTTGGAGTGAGACTTTGAGTTTGTTCTCTCAATTGATAAATAAAATTTTGCAAATTTTGTTCTGCCAAGAAATATAATATAAGAATGTGCTTCAATGATTTTTCATCTACATGGTTTCCAAAAAATAGTGTAGGTACGTAACATTTCCGAGAACAGATGTTATGGACATGTAATGTGGATTATTATTTCTCCTGATTCGAATTCTTTCGGATAGGTATTCGCGGAACATGAGATCTAACTCATTCAAGTACCCATAGTAAACATGTTTCAACGTATTGAACAAGTATGAGGGATTCTTGGTTTCAACATTTCGTATAGGAATCAGAGAATATGCAGGTGAGGTGTAAGGTTAAACAGTATAGCCAATCAATGTCATCAACTTCAATTTTACTTGCGTATGGATGATTTATGTGAAACATGTGCCAAACGTGTTCATCAGGACATTTATGTGGAGACAATATTGCTAATTATCCGATTGAGTTTGCACTGATTGATGAATTAGTGAACAAAGAGTCTGACGGCTCTCCATCGAAGCTCAGGATGTGTTTGAGAGGTTTACTGAAAACATGAGTTGAAACTCTCTGAGGTTTTTTCATCGCAAGGATGAAAATTCCAAAAATGTTCGAAGAACATCGTGCCTCATCAGGGAGGATAGCGAGAGGAGATGTGTGTTGAATTTTTTCGAACTTTTCGAGTTTTCAAGTTCTTCGGAATACTTTCATCGGCAAATAATTCCAAAGCTTTGCCGTTTTATAAACAAACGAGTTTAATTGAAGATAGAGTATGTATATGTGTCTATTCCAAGCGTGATGATCTTGGATATTCCATTGGCACACTGTGAAGGATCCTCAAAATCAAAGCATATTATATGCGGAGGAAACTCTGAAATAACACGTGGATACCATTTCTATCTCCTGGGTCATATTACTATACAAGACGTTGGGGTGCTGGAGCGGTTGATGGAATGAAGAATTGGCAGGTTGTAGAGGTGCGTGTGTGATCAGAATTGCCGAGTGGAGCTTAGGTTTGTCGCCTAGATCCACTCGTTTTGTTGGAGTGTACGAGCCAAGCGTTGTTGTGGACATTGACATGGTCCATGATTACGATTTCTCCTTCTGAATGGTTCTGCTGAATGAGGTCAAGATTCGGATAACAAGAACTCGATAAGCTCTTTGTAGGACGGATGATTTGGTGATATGGAGAGACAACAAATATATTCGGTCTGTTTCTGGTGATCGAGGTTGAACCACATAGCATGAAACTCATTTGGTTCCGAAGTTTCTTCTCGATGAGAAATTAGTTTCAGAATAGAGGTCAAGGGATATAGCATATTTGGCGTTTGAGGTTGGAGGTGTCGATGGACATCGTTGATGTTCTTACCCAGACCACGGATGTTACGCTCTTATCAATCGATGGTGAACCTCCTCTAGAATTTTTCGCCCGGAAATCCGAATTAGGAACTTTTTCACTTCCGGATGATTTCACTTGAGGAAAACTCATCATCGTTTCTTCTGTATTGTAGAAAAATAGTGTTGGAGTGGTGAAATACCGGAATTTGATTAGGGCGGGTTGACGAGAATCATCAACCAGCTACTGAAACATGGGTTCACCTCTTTTCACAGTGCCCGAGGGTCGATATGGTGATATCTCAACTGGGAGATAATGTTAGCCATCTTCCACGTATTCGCGACTTCTTAGTCGCCTACTGGGACAGGCAAGACCTACCGTGGTTTCATTCTAATCTGACCGACACTCGGTGTTCGATCTAAAGTGGATTACTTGATACAAAAGAGAAATATCAGTGAAGAAAATGCTGTTTATGCCAAAATCAACGAATACTCTCGGAATTCTGCGGATAATCCGATATAGTTCAGATGAAGTCATCGAATTTCCTGATGTGAGTCCTCATTTGTTATGTTTCAGGTGGATATTTCCATTGGTCTACCTCTGCATCGAATGGTTTCTACGCTTCAATCCTGATATTCGCAAATATATCGGGAAGAAGATTATTGTGTCTCACCATCATTATTTGAAAGATGTTTGAATATTCTCCAGAGTAACAAGGAATTGAATATATATGCATACCTTTCGATAAAATGTCGAATGTAGATACAAATATGGTGAATAAATTTATTATATAGGACATTCCTATTCCTCAATAAAGTACTCCATTTTTTCACCTACCTATCAGAGTACCTATTCAGGAATATGTCATTTAGAACCTGATGAATATTGTATATATCTAGATTCAGATCATGGATTACCTCGACCAAAATCAAATAATCTCTGATGGACAGTACGGATTCAGAGAAAATTGGAGTACCCAAGATGCTTTAGCATATATGTAACTTCGCTGTTGTACAAAGCTGTTGATAATAAGAGGGCATGCCTTGGTGTTTTTGTCGATTTAGCAAAGGCATTTGATACTGTCAGTCACGAGATTTTGATGGAGAAACTTGAACACATAGGCATAAGAGGTATTCCATTAAAGCTCCTCAAGAGTTTTCTGAGTGATAGACAACAGATGGTTGAGTTAGATAATATAGTGAGTAGCCCAAGAACGGTTTCCTGTGGAGTACCACAGGAAACTGTTATTGGACCTGTGCTATTTATAATATATCTGAACTCATTACTTACCTCGGAAACCCAAGGTGTGATTGTCTCCTCCGCTGACGATACAGTTATATTATATGAGGGGGATTCATGGACAGCAGTAAAAGAAAAAGCCCAACAAGACCTGGAAAAAATTAGTAAATGGTTCAAAGTAAATCTGTTGACTGTGAACGTAACTGAAACCAATTCCTACCCTTTACCTCATATAAAAATAATCTACCGCCTTATAACTATATACTTTCTGATGGACAGAATGTTACTATTGCAACCAGAGCAAAATACCTTGGTATAACAATCGATTTGTTCTTGAGATGGGACGATCACGTTGACAACCTAAAGAAAAGATACGTTCAATACTATACAAATTCTATCAGTGTCGATATATATACTTCCTCTCAAAAACCTTAAAATCATTTATTTTGCTATTGCTGAGTCCCTCATGAGCTATGGAATAATTGGGTGGGGAGGGAGTTCAAAAGACCATACTGGAACCTCTACTAATCCTGCAAAAAAGAATTCTCAAAATTATAAATTTCAAACCTGCATTATATCAATCTGACCAACTATACGAAGATTTAAGAATACTAGATGTGAGACAAATTTATGTGAAATCGGTTCTGATGTTCACATTCTCTAAAAAATCAACTTACCTCACCAAACATATAACTCATATAACACGCGCAGTATGAAGATGGAAAATGTTTCCTTACCTAAAGCAAACAAAGCATTAGGGCAGCGGTCTCTCTTCTATACCGCTCCAAGATTCTATAACCTCCTCCCTGAATCTATCAGACATATAAAGTCCAAACTTGGTTTCAAAAGGAATATGAAAGACTGGATTCTCGAACAAGAGAGAACATTTTTCTATACAGTTGTTGAATGAATCAAACCTATCATGCAAAACGTTTTATGTTGAAGCCAATTGAATGCATACTTACACTTACCCTACTTACTTTGAATACTAATATATTAGAGATTATATTACTACATTTTCTATTCAGTCGATTTATCCATTTCTGA